GACGTCGGTCATCAGAACTTCGAAACTGTTGTTTGATTTCACCACTTCGGGTGAGGCTTGCTTTTACTTGGCTGCCGCTTGTAATGCTGCCTCAGCGCGACGGGCTGCAGCTTTAGCCCTCACCACGGCCGCTAGCTCGCGTTGGCTCGCGATGCGAATATTGGCCAGTTGCTCTTTGCTAACGGGTCCGGCCTTAGTTGGGCGCGCCAGGCAGGTTCGACTGTCGGACCTGTGCGGTCCTCCGCAGTTGCGGCACTTGGTGTGAGCACGGCACTCGTCTGTCGAGTGCATCGTGGAGGTGCAGTTCCCACAGGCTTGAGCGCGAGAGCAACCGCGCGTTCCATGGAACTGCAGGCAGCGTTTGCATTGCTGCACAGTCTGTCGCGGCTTGTGTGGGACCGCGACGCCCGAGTCGTCGAACAGGCGGAATCCTTGTCTTGGTGCTGCTCCCTTCCTGAAATGGGCAAGCCATGACTGGTATGGAGCGTCAAGGCGAGTTTTCCCGTGGGGCCGTACCTTGACTGGCACGGCCTTTGTGACTCGCGTGATCTCCTCGATTACCATCTCCTCCGTCACATGCACCTTTCCGAGGAGGGTGTGGATGGCGACAGGGACCGTCGAGATCCGGAGCGCGACAAGGTCCGAGGCCTCATCTAGCCTTACCTCGATTGGGAGGAAAGATTCCGCCGCGCTCAATAGGAGCTTGCGAGATTCCAGGTTCTTCGCTCTGAGTGCGAAGCCAGTTGGGACACGGTAGACGTGTTCAATTGCTGCCTGAGGCGCGTTGGTCAGCTGCGCCACCGCTTCTCTGATGCCAGCTGGCGAAAGATTTCGCCACTGATGTTTTGATTTTAGCCGGAGGAACAGTCGGTTGTCCGGCGAGGACGAAGGAGCCGTCTTGGCCGATTTCTTGGTCGGCGGGGTCGGCTTTTTCGGGGCACCACTTGCTATCACTGGCGTCGGGTGATTTGGTAACTGATTCCCGGCTACAGTTGTCCAGGTTGGAGTTATCTGGGGGACCGCGACGGCAGGCTTTGCCGGCCTGACGGTCGACGGTGAGAGTGTCCCGCTGCTGCTGACCTGCTGGCCGATGGGGCGGGGAGGGAGGATTGTCGGCACTGGTGTGGTTCCAGTGCGCAGGAAGTGGGCGAGGGCGCCCCTCAGACACACGTTCATCGCGTCCAAGTATTCTTTGTTATCTGTCGTTTTCATGGACAGGATAACACTTTCCAATGTTTGTAGCACCGTTGACCCTATCTCGAGCCTGGCTGAGGTGTTTGCAGCCCGCTTTCTTTCGGCTTCGAGTAAAGCCTCTATTTCCGGCGGGTGAATTGGCGTGGTTCCGGTGGGAGCACCGCCAGCAGGTTGGTTATCGCGCACAGTCATCCCGGGAATCGAGGCCGGGGCTGGCGGAAGTTGTGAGGCATTTGCTGCCTTTGCGTTATGGGGGTCTTCCGTTCCCCTCGGTGTGCTCGCGGTTGGTGTCCGCTTTGCTATCGGAACCGCGATTTTTCGTGCCGCAACGCGTGCGGATTCTGGCATTGCTTTAGCCGAGACTACTTTCTCGATGGCAATCGTTGGTGCTGTTGACGCCTTCTGGGAGCTCTCTGCTCCTGCAGTTGCCCAACGCGAGTCCTTTAGGCCCTTTCTGATCCAAGCATCAATTATGGGAGTGGCATCCTCCATCTCAATGTCGGTTTTGCCGCTTTCTTCCATCTGCGCGATTATATCGGCTTCCATCCCTTCGAGATCGATGTCGTTCTGCGTCAGTCCCTTTGTTGTCGCTTTTTGCATTGCAATGCTTTTTGCTTTGTTCAGCATTTGCTTCTGTGATTCCAGACGCGTCTGGTGGTTGTGCTTTACTACTTTAGTGGTTAACACAATTTTCGCGGGTTTCGCGGATTTTGGGGGTACCGGTGCCATGTCAAGGCTGAGTGGCGCGGTACCACGAGAAATTGATCTTTCGATATACGACGAGTGATTGGAGGGGGAAAATGGGAAAAAGGGAATTTTCGAATTTTCGAATTTCTCGAATTGTGCGGGTTGTTTGTTATTTAACCTCTATCAAAAACCCAAATGGGCAAAGGACGCTAAGGCTTACTGCCTCAGTTGTTGGAGTGCTACGACTCCCTAACCGAGGGAGGCGAGATCTGATTAACAATTAAAGAAAATATCCGATGACCAAGACACAACTATGATAAATGATAGAAAAGATGTATACGAGAAAAATAAAAAATAAAAATAAACCCCTTTAGTGTAAACGCAATACCCACGAATGAGAGGTCAAGTTAATGTTGATAAACTAGTACAAAGCAAGCTGAAAGTTTTCCACGTTAACTTCTATTTTTTCAAAGTCCCATCTGATCATATGACGCTCCGGTCGATATCTTCAAGATCTTGAAAGGGTTTAAGAAAAAAGTCCGCTTGGCTACGGCAGCGATTCGTGATGATCCTGTTACCTGGGAAACTGCTGGATAGCTAGTGTGCTGTGCTGTATGAGAGGTGCGCAGGCCCTGCGTAGTGTCAGAGAGTATAACGCATCCTGCTTCTGTCTGGAGGCGGATGTATGCCTTAGAGAAGATCTTCCGGATGACAATAACCTGCGATTGTGTCTTAAGTGGATTAGAGGGTTGTGACTGTTGTAATAAAACAGTTCTGCATCAGTACCGATGCAGGATCTCTGTCTGTGCACTACTACATGTAACTCTTAATTCACTTATAACTAGATTCCATGTTTAATATAGTCACGTCTGTTTCTTGTCTTAGTCGCAGGGGTTCACTAAAACACAAGGCTAAAACATCATTTTGATAATGTTGTCAAGTTGAGACATTGGCACGTACCTCATCAATCCCCCAACTTTCGTCATACCAAGTTTAATTCCTGTATATAGATGTAGTCTCTCCTACCTCCAGAGATCTTCAGTTAATTGTATTAACTGAATATCTCTGAAGGCTATATTCATCGCTCCTCTCGTCAACTCCACAGCTTTACATCTAAAGCCCCGTTCACCAGCTCCTGTGCTCGAATACTACTCTTCCTTCCCCTCCAACAGCCCGAAATCCCTCTCGATCTTTAACCTCACAACAGTGGCCGTAGCTCACAAGTTGGGTCGTGTGCTAGATGAGGGCCGTGACAGTGGATACACCGCGGTAGGCAGGTATTTCCAGCCGGTGCAGCGCAGAGGTTATTGTGATCCTTCTCTGTGTATTGAGTAGACCCACAAAGACGGCATCTTGTGGCAGAGGAACAAGCGCGGCTGTTGTGCCAAAGCCAGCACGTCCTACACTGTACTACTGATGAGCTTTTAGGAAGTATTCGGGTGACGGTGCGGCATCCAAAGAAATAGAGAATGCGTGAAAGACGACTATGGTCTTGAGGAAAGCGGACAATCCAGCATGTATCTGGGCTGTCTGGATTCGTCTCATTATCCTGGGACGCGAGCACAGATACGGGAGTAGCGCTAGTTGCTATTACGGCCTCGGTTAAGACTGGATCGAGATAGTATTGCATGTTTAGGTTTATCGTCCCGTATAATCGAGGGACATTTTCAATCCTATAGGAAGTCCAGGGCGAGGCTTTCTCAATGGAAGCAGTCCCAAACAGGTCAACTGATGCCAGTTCCTCGTTTAAGGTATCGGCGTTACCAGCGCTAGTGCGTAGAGAAAACCCTGTATTTGTTGACATAACATTTGATAAAAGTTGGCTTTGACTGCCAAGCTTAGACTTCAAGTGCGTTTGTATTGCATAGCCCAATGCGGTGCGTAGAGGACCGTTGGAGGAGATGCGGACAAACAATCTGTCGTCTGGTTTGGTGTTTGCGGTTCGTGCGTGAGCATTTAGCTTCTGTGCATGTGATGGGAAACGCCATTAATATTGCGGTCACGTGGAAGAGTTTACGCTCGTACGCGATTGTATTTAATATCCCTTGTCCTTTCCTAAATCCTGTCTCCTGTGTAGACAATCTTATTCACCAGATTAGACCTCGTCAATCTTCCTCTTGACCATCCCTTGACAGTGCGCCTCGTTTGGTAGCGCCTACATAGCTTTGGGAAGCGTTTACTTTTGCTGTCTTCATAGGGCGGGGTTTCTCGATAGCTGAGGTACCGTACATATATGCGTTGAAGTGCTTAGCAGCATCAGTTGCTAATTCTGAGGTGCAGTTGCGGAGGGATTGAGCTTGAGACTCTGGTAGAAAAGCGTGAGAAGAGCAATGTTCGTCGAGAAGTCGCGCTAGTGAGCCAAATTAAATTTCTGCTTCACGAGCTCTAGAGGCTGCTAATTGAGAGGCTTCGAGGAGAGACAGTTGAATGGGACCGAGGGTTTGGTTTTCAGGAGGGTCATCATACGAGAGATTTAGATTTGAAAGGGAGTTTTGGGGGGCGTCTAGGTCAATGGGTGGGTCTAAGCAATTTTCTTGGAAGACGATAATTCACTCTTGACGTATTCGCGGGTTATAAAAAGAGATGGTTGTGGGGCTCAATTCGTATTTATATTGTCGTTACCGGTTGGGCAAGAAGTCTGCGTGTCATGTTGTGTTGAGCAAAATCCAGGTCACGTGAAAGTGGCCTTCGGATATTACACAAGAGGCAGGAAAACATATCTCTCGTCCCATTTAAGACACAAGCAATGGACATTAGAATTGGGTCTACAGGGTTGGATCACTCGTGGGCTACGAATGACGTATTTAGGGTAGGAAAAGTGTGTTGTTGTTTCACTAAGTCTTTATTAATATAACAATTGTTAGAAATAGAATAATTGGGGCTATCAAGTAGGCCACGTTGATACACACGTGACTGCGAATTCTGTACTTCGTTACACTTCGGCAGTAACATGAATTAATGCGCTCTACAACCTCAATGACTGAGGGGTCATTATTTCCTTAATAACAATCGTTATTTCATTTCAATATACCCGCGAGACCTGAAGTCCCTTTTTGCTTCTAATTATTTGTGCTTTAAGAGCATATTGAAATGACAGGCCATAAGTAACCAAAAACTATCTACATAGCATCTTCAAAGAGCGATTGTAATTGTTCAGTCTGTTCACTCAGCTCTTCTTGTAAGCCAGGTGCCAACTTTAATACTCTCTGCTGTGGCATGGCACCCGCTACTAGACTATCAAGGTGCTCTCTACCGAACCCTAATCCTCTTAAGCCTGATGGCTGGTCACCTAAATCTTGTAAAAACTTAGAAATTGCCTCTGCGAGCACGGCACCGGCACTCTCTCGTTTCACATTTGATATATCAACGCCAAAACACTCAGCCGCTTTCAGATGCCGCTCAGGATTCGAAGCGCCTGTAAATCTGAAGACAGCTGGAGCAGTAACAGCCACAGATACCCCATGTGGGATTAATGGTAAATCTATGGCATAACCAGGATGTTTGTAACCAGGATTTAGCCCTGAAATTGGATAAGACATTCCTATTTTAATTTAGATGGGCTAATGTTATTTCAGGTACGTAGTAAATTAGAGATTAATTGTTCAATTTTATCTCATCTTAAAACTGGGAATTCTTACCGTGGCAGAGATGTACGCCCGCGTTTCCAAACCCAACTCCGGCTAAAGTAGCAGCGAGAAGCATCTCGCTTTGAGCCTCATAATCTTCTGGATCGTTTTTTGCTCGTGGGAGATACTTTATTGTATTTCTTAGCGCTTGTAGAGAAAAAATGTCGCTGATTGGGTTTGCTCCTTGATATGCTGGTCTGTTGATTGGATTTGTCGGTCGCGGTTTCCGCTCATTATACGGGATTGCAGTCCAGCTTTCTAGACTATGGCATAGTACATCAAGGCCCGAGCTTGCATGAACTGCTGCAGGCATAGTCCGAGTATTTAAGGGATCACATATGCCGAGGAGCGGTTTCAGATTTCTGTGGGCAACACCTGTCTTCGTTCGAAGAGAATCTATATCAAAGATGGCTGTACCAGTAGTTTCAGAGCCTGTACCAGCTGTTGTTGGTATAGCAATGAGTGGCTTCAATGTCTTGCTTATAGGTCGACCTTTGCCGAGTGGCTTGTTGACAAAATCCATCAATGTGGAATCGGGATAACAGGTAAGAAGGTTCATGAGCTTAGCAGTATCAATGACGGAACCGCCACCGACAGCAAGAAAAGCATCTGGTTGGGAACTTCTAGCGAACTCTATTGCCTTCAATATACTCGAAATCTGTTAGCTGAACGAATGTTATGTGATGAAAAGGTGTAAATCGGATACAGATCAAGAACCAACCTAGTTTTTAGTCGGGACAAGAAATTATACCTACGAGCTTTGTTTTGGTTCAACGCGGCATCCATCATAGATGAAATAATCAATTCCGCTTCTCTCCAAGCTTTGTATGGCTTGTTGCATCCCGTACAGATCCTTTACTGTTTTATCTGTGACAACACAAACTCGGTTGGCACCTAAATTCTCTAGATCCATGCCTACTTCTCTTGTAGCTCCTGCTCCGAATCTCACGGACGACGAGGCCATCTCAAAGGCATACTCTTTCTGTTCCGAGGTACCAATTATTCCCGAACTGCTTAATTGGAGGTTGCGTTTGGCGTGCGCCTGTAGAGCTTTCGAGGGTTGATTTTGATGAGAGTAAGATGGACTTCCATGGCAGGGACAGGACGGAGGATACGTATATTGGAAAGTACGGAGTAGATTGACTGCTTTGTTAGCTCGCTGCAACAAAGTATCAGTTGACTAGGAATATAACTATATAGTCCTTAAAACACTCACCGACGGAGCTACACGTATAGCAGGGACCATTGATGGAAAGAAAGACGATCAAATTGCGGGATTTCCAGGCGGCAAATGGGCAGTAGAAGAATTATTCAAATTTCATCTATCGCAATTTTCACAAGAACCGTGATATATGGAAGAGAAGGGATATACAAAGCATAGATAATGACATACAATGTCAGCTTCATGTTTATAAAGACGTCAACGACGCTTTGTCTGGGAGTTGACCAGCTTCACGAGACGTCCGTTCGCCCATACGTCATGGTATGTGAGAATCCAAACGCTATATGAATCCTAAATTTGGCGGCTTAGGAAAAGGTCAAGCTGCATCTACTCTAATCGTTCTACGAAACAATAGAATAGAATTAAATTTAATCCCTACTGAGTCTATGGCAATGAAGGACTACTAAAGATACCTAAATAACTTCCTAACTTAATAGTAAATTTGAAAATTGTCTTGTTTGATAGTTACCAATGGATACTGAGGGTCATGCCCTTCTACGGAACAATATCAAAGGCTTAGAATGTCACTGGGGTCTTGGATTTTTAAACAGATCCGCTGACAATTATCGGACCCTGGACAGTCGTGTGGATCTTCTTACCCCGCTCCCCGTGGTTATAGTGGGGTAGTTACTCCGTCCGGCGTTACCATTGCCCCTAAAATACACCGTCAGACGTTAACAAATGGAACCTCGCACGACCAAATATTTCGATCTAAATCCACATTTTGGTAAGAGATATAGAGTTATTTTCCTAGTGAAGTGGGGCAATGATTCTCAATCAGGGCCTGCTCGAATAATTAATACTTCTGCATTGATAGACAAGGCGGGAACACGAATGCGGCATGTGACCTGATAAGGTTAGCGTATTTATGCTCAGCAACCAGCTCACGTGCCGTCGCGACGCTTAATGTCGTCATTATCAATGATATTGGGCGCCGTTGTACCATAAAATAAGTCATGACTTATGCACACTTCCAAGATTAATATAGAGAGCTGTGAATGACGAAATCAGACGATACGTTTTGAACACCCACTCCATTTCTTGTCGCTGGCAACGTTTCCTGTCTTCGAATCTAATGCTTATTATTTTAGCTACATAATTCCCATGTAACTACGCTAGCGCTGATGATTCTCGGGCTACCTACCACTCTCGCGCGAGTCCAAGTCAATCTTACCACATAATACCTTGCCCCATCGACCTCTCGGGCAGTCGCTTCAGTTTCAAATGTAATCCTGCCTTATCAAACATCAGGTATCTCTCACTTTTTAATCCTAAGCCCACTTATATCTGCCGGGGGAGATAAGTCATAATATACAGTGCCTCTAGGATCTGAGGAGGTAGAAGGCTGAACACCTGTCAGTGGTGTCCTCTACGAACTTGGGAGTGAAATATTCTCCCAGAGCCGAGATTCAGTCACGAAAAAGGGTGGATTTCAGAGTTTTTGTCGAGTTGGCGATCGGGAGGAGTGGTGTTGGCTCAATTTTGATCGAAAATCCGACTTGCAGAGATCTCACGAATGCACAACTCAACGAAATCAACCATTTACACCCCAGATAGGAACCGCAGACAAGCTATAACCTGCCTGATGTTCGTATTACAACAACCGACGCCTTCGAGATCTTGTTTTTTGTTTCTCTGGAAAATCATTCCCATCCAAACTCATCTCGTGGCCCTCTCCACAGTCATCTTACCTCCTACCGAAGCAATCCCATACCTCCAAAAGCCAAATCGCCAACTAAGAAGCAAGAGGATGTCCGACCCTCCGCAACTGCCAGTCACTGTGAAGGTACGGTCGAAATACCGCCCTTAGATGCGTCCTCACCTCGGCGAAGGGCACCAACAACACGACCTGCGACAAATCGCCACCGACGAAATACGTACGACATATAGCCGGCACACCAACTAGAGCGTTCGAGAAAGCCTGGGGCACCAGTGCCTCGGTCTTGAACTCTCAGTCGCGTTTTCGACCTCCACGGTTAGCGGTACGGCAGCGACGGGGTAAGGCTAGAGGGGTGGACATTCTACAAAGTTTCTGGGATGACGAGATCGGCCGAAGGACAGAGGGATGCTACATGAAGGAACGAAAGGGAACACAAACCGAGGAGGCCTTGGTGGGCAACTGGACGAGGCCTCCAATGAAGAAAACGACCCCTGAATGAGATGAGGAGATGCTAAGGTGAGCCAAAGCTGGAAATGAATCGAAGGGAAAAATTACAGATCGCGGAGGTGTCAAGGGCTCGGGCGGGTGGTGGCCGATGCTGAGGAGGAATTTTCGCTTCGGCGCGCCAAAAGGGGGTTACCTGGACGGTTGGGCTTGACATGATTCAACACATGGGTGAAGTCTGAGGTGGTCCGGTCATTCAGGTGGGACGAGGTAGATGTAATTAATGGTAGTTAACCTGATCCGGCCCGGCCCCACCCGTGCTTAAGCTCCAGTAGGAGTGCAACGGTAGTCATGTATGTGTGTTTTGTTTTTAATTTTAAAGTCCTAAGCTAAAGCTCTAGGTCCACTATCGGTACAAGACTGGTGGAGCCGGTGGAGTTCTCTGCGTACAGGCCCAACTCATTCCAACCGCGGGAACCTCAACAAAAGTAGATGAAGTTAACAACATAACTTAAATCAAAACTAAAATCAAAGCGTAAATCAAACAAAAAAACTGAAAAAAACTGAAAAAAATAAATAATAATTTAGAAGAATTTCATATGTGGTCCAGATCCCGCGCTTCTCGCCCGTTTCCTTCCCTGTCACATCTTCCAAGTGAATTTTCCTAATCTCCGCTGAGAGCGAAAGATGAGCTCTCAGGTAACCTTTGCTGTCGGCTGGTTTCCTGCTTTTTGTTGTGAAAGTTGTCGTAGACTTCACCAAGGACTGCCGAGTCCTCAAACTTCTTCTTCGGTTTCTAGAATTCCGAAACCCGATCCCTCCGCCATGGAGACGTCCTTCGCAGAGGCGTTCCTCGCCTCTTCGTCTTTTTTGTATGCAGCTTTGACACGGGCAAAGTCTGCATATCTTTCTTGCTCGACTCTGCGAATTGCTGCGAGCTGTTCCTTGGTCACCGGTCCATCTTTTCTCGGTCTGGCTTGGCAGTGCCGAGAGTCCGATCGGTGAGGTCCCCCACAATTGCGACATCGTGTGAGGGCCTTGCACTCCACTTCCGAGTGCATCTTTGAGCCGCAGTTCCAGCAAGATGGAGCGCGAGAGCATCCGCGGCTGGCGTGATAGCCAAGACAACGTATGCACTGTTCGAGTTGGGGACGAGGTCGGAAGAGCTTCGCAGCTCCAGAATCGTCGAAGAGGCGGAATCCAGGTCGGGGCGTGGACTCGCGAGGAAAGAGGGCTTGCCAGTTCTCGTATGGCGCCCCAGGCTTGCAGTACCCGTGCGGACGGACAAGAAACGAAACCGATTTCGTCACTCGCGTGACTTCGTCAGCAACCATCTTTGCCGTGATCTCGATGGGACCTGCAAGTGTGTTTATTGTCACCGGTACGGTGGCAATTTGCAAGGCAACCAGATTTGACGCTGGTTCCAGTTTGATTCCAGATTCGCTCCGTGACATGGAGGAATCTAGCAGCTCTTTCCGAGCGAGTTCGTTCTTTGCTGTCAGTGCAAAGCCTGTTTTGACCCGCTGAACCAACGTGATGTTGTCTGCAGCGGTACCAAGCACCTGTGACACAGCTAATCTTACGCCAGTTGGTGACAGGAGTCGGTGGGGGTGGTTAGCTTTGAGGCGTAGAAAAAGTCTCGTGTCGACTTTTGTCCTCGGATTGACACTTTTTGCTTTTGGGGCGGGCGGTGCTGCCTTTGTAGTCGACGGCCCGGCGCTGCGGCCTAGACCTACACGGGCTGCTGTGGCCCAAGTCGTCTTTGGTGCCGGAGCCTGGGTTGTCGAAGGGTTAGGTACCCTAATTTCATGAGCCCTCGGCGGAGGAGGGTTGCTGGGGCGCGCAGGGAGAGCTGGTGGAGTGCTCCCTGGGCCTGATTGTATGAACTGGCCAATGGCCGCTCGAAGGTAGACTTTGATGCCGTCTACAAACTCTTTTTCGTCGCCAATCGAGAGAGGCGAAAGTGCTGCTTCAACACTGCTTATTGCAGTGGAACAGATTGATAAACGGGCCTTGATTTGCGTCGTGCGACGCTTCTCGGCCTCCATCACTGATTGCAGCTCCGGTGGATATTCCGGTGCTGATGTCGAAGCTGCGCCTTTTGAGGCTGGCACAGCATTTCTTCCGGCAGGCAATTCTGCACGTTCGGTCGTCTTTTCTCTGACGACCTCCTTTCCTTTCCTGGGACTGCTTGCCTCGGGGGCCAGCTCGGCGGGTTTCGTGGTCTGTTGACCATTTATTTCTGTTCTGATCGGGTCAGAATCAGTCATCTCTTGATCGGGAAGGTTTGGAGACTTCCCAGGGATAAAGGCCTCACTCGCAAATAGGCTTGATAATTTTTGCGCGAGGCCAGGTGTTTTTGCAGGAGCCCTCGGGCGGACTCTCGCGTTGTCCAACATTGAGTTGGGGAGCTTTTTTCGAACAGGTGGCATGACGAAAATGCCAGTGACTCGATTACAATTTATTGAAGGGATGCGACGAGCGCGAGAGGGAGGGAGAGGGGGAGAAGGGGAATATTCGAAAATACGAATTTCAAAAAATTGTGGGTGTGTGTGTGTGTGTTTTATTGTACTACTTGAGTCTATGACTATCTAGCACATTGGGCTCCTCTCTGACCCAGGCCACACCTTGTATAGTGCTCCTATCCTCTTTTGTTACTTGAAAGATCATTGATATATTCCTCTTGATGAATAGCCATTCAGCTCAGTATTTACCCGTGGAATTCAGCCACCTTTTCCACGGAACCTTCTACCCAAAAAAAATAAAAATGGTAGCAATGGAAACTGCGTGCGCGGGAAAAAGTCTCAAAAAACCTGCAGCCCCAGCCAGGCGAGGCCTAGACACCGGGACCACATGAGGTGCGCATATTCATCTATATCTCCCTTCTTTGTAACAGTCGAGGTCGACTTGATCCAATCAA